CCGTGCAGGGGGGGAGCTGGGACTGGCATCCCCAATGCAGGGCGCAGGGAGAGAGGCGCGCATGGCGATGGCAACCCGGCCTCTTTCTTCCCCCGGCAGCAGCGAGGCCCGCGTAATGGACCAGGCGCAGCGAAAGGCAGAGGGAGCGCAGGGGCGCTAATGCTGCGGGGGAGGGGAGATGAACGAGCATTTCTGCCCTGTTGAATCGGATCATCCTCCTAACGCGCTGTTTTGTTGGGCGGGGAAGGGGGGAGAAGCTGCTCTCCCCGGGGCTGCTGGGGCCGGTTGAGTTGCAGCAGCAGGTGCCAGAGGATACGGGGCGGAGCTGCTGTGCGCACAGCTCGCTGGAAAGAAACGGGGGGGGGAAAGCAAGGCAGGGAGAAGCGACGGGGCTGCGCGCGTGGCCCGCGAGAGGGGCACGGTCCAAACCCAGCGAGCCCAAACCCGGTCCAAGGCAGGCGCCCCCAGGAACCGCAACCCAACCCCCGGGCGGGCCACGCAGCCCCGCACATCGGCTGCGACGCGGGGCTTTCTCGGCTCCCGCTCGCAACACCCGAGAGCCTCCACCGAGTGGGGTTGAAGCCCCTCTTGGCCACATACCCCTCTCCCCCTGGCATCTGAGCGACGCGCGGGGCAGACCCGCACCCCAGCGCATCGGGCTGTCGGCGCGCACCGAGCCACCATTATAAAAGAATCAATGTTTCGCCTTGGCCATGAAGCGTGTCCTTTTCTGCAGCTGTCAGGGAGACACTCAACAAAAATCGAAATAACCGCACGGGAAGGCTGCATTAAGCTGCTGTACGGGGCCACGTCTGAAAAATGCACTAACCCGGCCTGGGCTAAGCACAGGGCGATGTGAGCCAACTGGGCACATGTATTAGTGCCATCTGCTCCCCAAAACACCGCCCCTGTTCCACCACAGAGGCGGCTTCGTCTCAGGGACAGGCTGATGGCTTCCCCACCTAGGAGACCTCCTCAGGGGAAGCATGGAGGTTAGGAAATACAGGTCTACACACCTGGCCCCTTAGGAAACTGGCTGAGGGCCGGATTTCTAACACCTGGGCACCAAAAGCTTAGCAGCGGAGGGCTCTGACAAGGCAGGAGAAAGGGATCTAACTGGCGGCAAGTAGGTCAGGTTATGAAGAGCTCTCCCCCCCATTACGGTGGCGTCATTAGCCTCCCCCCTTTGCTAACAGTTATTGACTGGGCATAAATTCTTAAAAGCCCGCAGAGACGCTAGACAGGGTGCAAAGGTGTAATTATTAAGTAATCCCACACATGAGCTAGGACTAGAAACTGGATAGCAGCTCAAGTAACAGATTAGAAATGAAGGAGAGAGCAAGCACCCTTCAACCGGGGTTCTACATACATAGGAATCTCCTGGATAGCAGCTCAAGTAGATTAGAAATGAAGGAGAGAGCAAGCACCCTTCAACCGGGGTTCTACATACATAGGAATCTGTGCAGGATAAATTTTATGAGCACTGAGGCATGGGTGGATGTGCACCTCCTATAAATACACAGTGCTGGCTGGCTGTGGATTGTCTGTTGATCAACTGAGCTGCATTAGAAACTCCCAGGTGGCCACTCAAGTGCTCAGCATACAGAGAACACTAGTCACCAGCAACTTTGGAAAAGGGGGGAAGGGGAAGAAAGAGAGATCAGTAGATTTCCCAGTAACCATCTCTGGACACTGGGATGTGCTGTGCAGACTGGTCTGTTCTCTCTCAATGGCAGTGGCCACATCTACAAAGAATCCTCTTATTAAAAGACTAGGATCAGGATAGATCTTAGACTGCACTAATCCCTAATTAAGGTGAGGTTTCTTTAAAAATTGGCCTAAGCCCATTCATACTCCTTTATATCAATATTCTAGCATTCAGCTTATTGTAGATATTTGTAAAAAGTTAAGTTGAGACTTCTGCTGGTCAAATATTAGTATTACATAACTAGCCAAACAGTACAGAGGAAACTATACATTGTAATTTCATCCTAGATATCCAGTTTGAAATCCTTCCTGCTGTGTACTTACATAAGGTCACAATCCTGCAAAAGCTTATGCCGATGCTGAACTTCATGCTCTGTGTAAACTAACTAACTTCAAATGATATGATTTAGGTAATCAGTTAACGGAGAGTAAATGGCAAATTTTGAACCGTTGCTCTGAATTCTTCATAAAGCATCAGTGAGCAAGAACTATCAGATGAAGAAATTTATGAGTATCACAAGCCACACAGAAAGCAGATAATTTTGCAGTTAGGGCATTGATTTCTGAATTCATAGAAATAAAATTTGTAATGAATTATTCAGACTAACCAGATCAAGAAAAGCCACTTCTTTGCATACATTTACATACATAGTTTAGAAAAAAGTGCACAGAAGCTGCAATCTTAATTAACTTGTATTAACAGCTGCATTTGAAGTTGCATTCAACTAGGTATTTAAGGCTACATTTTCTAGAGTCATCTTTTCTGAGTAAACAAACCTATACACAGGTTCCTTTACTTAGTATTTCAACAAAGAAGAGCTGAAAAGCTTGTTTACATAACCACCAATGTTTAAATATCTAATGAATACTATATTTTATTTTACTTTTGTCTGTGGCTAGCAGGTAATAAAATCTGAGACATGATCCTGACAAGGTGATATAAATCAAGATGGTCTGGTTTTGGAAAGCAATATTTCAAAAGCAAGAAAACAAGTCTTCTTTATGTAAAACAGTTCCCTCTTGTGGATATTCTGTGTACTCTCTCAGATAGGAAGTATTTAAAATATTCCTCAAATGCCTACAGTTTTTTAAAAACTTGCCTAAATCCAAATTAGAGATGTTCCCAGCAAACAAGACAATTCTTCTTAGGGTTTAAATATATAGGATTCAGAGAAATGGATGAAGGAAACCAAAGGAGTCTATTTTAGCAGAAATATTTGCTCTTAAATATTTCTTCATATATCATCAATTATGAAGTATTAAATTAGAAATAAATAACACAAGCAAGAGCCAGAAACAGGCTGGAGGACTGGACACATGTATAGGCATATATTACAATATTCTTCTCTGATGCTTGTAGGAAAGAAGCTTTTTCACATTGCTATGAATGGGAACAAAAGAAGAGAAGGAAAACATATCAAAAGGGGAGACTAGATAACAGAATTTGGAATGTGAGTGTTGATTTCTCACTCACCTCTAAACTCAAATACTGAGCAAGGGTGCATAAGCAGAACTCCCAATACCAAAAAGACCAAATTCATGCCTGGAATAATTCCATTGGTGTCCATTAATTTATACCCAAGACTGTTTTTAGCAACCTGTTGCTTCCATTTATTATTAAATTTAAATAATGTCAGGTTGACAATCTGCACATTTGAAGGAAAGGGCAATTTTAAATGGCACATTTTGCTCTCTACAGTTTAATTATAGCATATATGGAGAAATTAAAAAAAATAAGGAAATAGGTTAATAGGAGAGCAAGTGTGACCATTTGTATTTGTTATCTGCCCACACTTGAACCAAATTTTACCTAATCAGTGATTGGAGCCTAGGACCTGAAGCTTATAAGACTCCTTGGCTAGATCTACATTACAGTCATACTTTGTTATAATTACAATGCACAGGCTTGTGAAAAATCAATATCACTAAGCAATGTAGCTAGCCCAACCATATCTTCCATGCCTTCTGTAGATAGTGGGACAAGCTTTCCCATCAACCCAGCTGCCAGGTGGAGTTATTAAACCAACATGGGAGCTCTCTCCAGTTGCTTAGAGCGTTTTCCCAGAACCTGTTAAGCGGGGTAGCTGCACCAGTATAAATGTGCAGTCTTGATCTAGTTTCTATGCCACATTATGACATCAGGCAAATCATTCAGTCTTCCTGGATAGAATCCACAAAGGTACTCTGTGGCACCTGCGAGCCGCATAACTCTTGCTCATTGCTGCCTAATCCTGTATGCTTCTCAATACACAAGATGCCTACATTTTTGTAATTAAAGTTCCCTAGGAGCCTGTGTTT